ATCCCACCACAGAAGGTACACTTGAGCTGCGATTTGTCCTCATAGATGCGAGATGATGATTGGCGAAAATCTGATCGCACCGCCGCGCGTGTAGCCGCTAGGCCACCGCCAATTCCTGAGGGAGATTCTCCCGATGATGGCCCTTCTCCTTTCATTATTCCTTTTCTTGCTGCCTCCCTTCGAATTTGGGCGTACGCCTCTTCAATTGATGGAAGAGGCTCTGTTTTGAGTATATCTCTTTTTTCAGCATCAAATTCATTGTTTATTGCCTGTAAAAATTGATATAGACGATTTTGTTGTTGAATCTGTGTGAAAATCGTCATATCCTCTGGGCATTTCATCGGGTTGGGTCGACGTCTGTCGATTTCCTTCCAAACAGCTTGTAGTTGGCTGTAAATTTTCTCCAACGGCTGTTCACCTTGTTTGATTTCGCTGGCCTTAACCATCAGGTCGTAGATTTGGAGGGGATCTTTTCCGGAGCTGTACGTGGCTTCGATCCCCTTCCACAAATCCCAGGCAGTAGGGTAATCGATATATTGATTAACAATATCCGATTCTATGTTTTCAAGTATCCACGTTATTACCGTTGAATCTGCTTGTCTCCATTTAATATATTTGGCATCATCAGATTTGAGAGGTGCGGCGATGATGTGCTTGAGCCGTCCTCTCCCGTCCAGAGCCAGACTCATTTTACGCGCCCAAATGGCGTAGTTCCTATCGTTGAGTTTTTCCGCCAAATTTAACGGCTGCTTGGAAGAGCTCTCGATAGGTTCGGCCTTGGGTGCTAAATTCTGAAAATTTTGGAGAATTTCCAGAATTTGTGCAAGGTTGACTGGCTGCTTCATTGGATCGGATTCCCCTGTGTAGGTGGAACTCTCTGGAGTTGGATCGGACATTTTTTTTTATGGTAGATGATGAACGCTGCGTATCATTCAATTGTTTTGATCGAATGATGGCTTTGATACCATATTAGAAATATAGAATCAATTCACAGCTGAAAATGTTCATCTTGTTGAATACATCTCTAATAATGTCTATAAATATTACAAAGTTAATAATGAAGACAATCAAGGAAAGTGAGTGGAAGTTAATCAAATATCCTGATTGGTAATTTGATTCCAATCAAGGATATTATCAAGATATTACACTATTCCCTTTTTGTTTGATATTTCTAACAGCTGCATCAAAGCTCACACTTTTTGACATCACACAACAAATAAGTGATGCAGTGCCAGGCTAGAGCTGAACAAGGCATGCATTGTGTAAATTTGTTTTCCTTTAAATTGTGCTTTTTAGTTACAAACTGGCTGACTCTGACTTATGTTTTGGGTCCAGATAAATACCATGGTGTTCTCCTATTGGCTGAGGGTCTTATTGAAAGTATTCCTGCAGTACATGCTCTACTAAAGGTGCCACCAGAAAATGGAGTTGATTACTTTGTTATTGCGCCCATCCCTCTCGTCTATCTCTCTTTCTCACCCTCTAAACTTTAGGTGTAAAGAACCTCATGCGTCTGTTATTGTATATGTTCTCTGTCCAGGAAATTCATGGTGTGCTTAGACAAGGTGTTTGTGCTGATAACATTTCCTCTCAATTGTAACTGTGGGCTTGTGCCCTTTTTGAATTTCTGCCACCCTTCATAAGAAACCAGGTAAATCAATACAAGTCTAGGCAAAAATAGTATCCACAAAGCTCCTCCATTCAAATTTATGTTAGTGCTTACTTTCGTAGCATTGCAATGTTACAGCTCCTCTTGCATCCCTAATTAGATGACTCGGCTCAGCTATCTTAGGTAATTCATAAGCTGCTTTGCTGACTGAGGTGTACTGGTGTATGTTGGGGATTGTGTCATCTGATGGTGAATTGTTTTTGTCCCACAGATGGAGACCGAGAAACTTCTAGTTTTTTGTGTTGAAGAAGAAATGAACAAAAGAACCGTAAGAAAGCCTATGAAACTTTTACTTCTCCTGTTCTTTTCTATAATATTCATAATCCACAGCATGTCTTTCAGAGGCCGAAGTGCCAATGTGTTTGGATTGCTTCCATGAGGAAGATTACATTTGTAATTGGTCACTCAAGTTTGGATTTTCTTTAAGGTCAGCTCTCCGAGAGTTTGGAGATCAAGATGGGGAAACTGAGACACATCATGAGACATTGGAGGGGACGCATCTCTACGAATGAAAACTGGGTTGGAATTGTAGACCAGTAAACAACACTCAACGCACAATGTTTATCTTTTTATCTTGATGCAGTGCTTAACAAATACAAGGGGACTTGTCATCAAGATTATGCTGCCTGTTGTCATGCTTTACACCATAGTGCATTGCATACAAAATTTGAAGTACTATTAAAAAACTGAACCTTTCTCGTTTATATTCTTATATGTGCATTTGTTTTAAAGGGGGAAGGCAGAAACTACTCATCCGATCTATTAGGGATGATAATGGCATTCCTTGTTCTATGCAGACCGATATCCAGAGAGCAGCAGTGGAGCACTTTTCCAAAGTTTATTCCGGCATCCATGAAGGGGCTATGGGTGATATTTTGGACTATATTCCTACACTTGTTACTCAGGGTGACGATGATCTTATCTGTCGACTTCCTTCAATGGGGGAAACCAAAGAGGCTGTATGGCTATTAAGTCCTTCAAGCTCAGCTAGCCCGGATGGCTTTAATGGCTACTTCATCAGGGAGGCTTGGGATATCACAATGGTTGATGTTTGCAAGGCTGACCAGGAGTTCTTTGTGGGAGTGCCCATCCCCAAAGCTTTTGGAAGCACCCTTATCACTTTGATCCCAAAAACTGGTTCGGTTTCTTACTTTGATCGCTTTAGACCCATCTGCATATCTACTTTTTTCAGTAAAATCATTTCCAGGTTGCTTGTTGAAAGGATGAAAAAGATCGTTCCCAAGCTGATTTCACATGAACAGGCTGCCTTCCAGGAGGGCGTGGGGGATTGATGAACGCATACTCATGGCTAAAAGAGATGCTCCATCACCTATCATCATCCGTGAGAGGAGGAAATGGGATGATCAAGCTGGATCTCACAAAGGCTTTTGATAGAATCTCTTGGCCTTACCTTGAAAATGTCCTTGGCAGGTTTGGGTTCTCCAATAAGGCAATCAAGTTTTTCATGGGCAATGTGGAGGCAAAAAAGTGAACAAACTTCTCCATCTTGATTAATGGGCAGTCTGGATTTTTCCCAATGAAATGTGGAGTAAAGCAAGGAGACCCATTGTCGCCACTGCTGTTCATCCTGAGTACTGCAGGGCTTTCAAGAGCAATCAACAACATTCAATAGAATCTTATCACCCCTTTTTATGCTATGCTGATGACACTATCCTATTCACTAATGGAGACAGTGGGAACTTGCTCAGTTGAAAAGGTTGCTCTAAAATTACATGTAGGCTTCAGGGCACAAAACCAACTATTCTAAAAGCCAAGTGATTGTTGATAGAAAGATGAGCAGGCAGAAAAGAGAGGCCATTCAAAGGATCATGAGAATCAAATGTGGGATAAGCCCCTTCAAATACCTTGGTTCTCAAATAGTCAAAGGGAAGCTCAACCAGGATCTTTTACAACACTTTGAGAAATATATTCACAGTTGGTATAGCAAAAAAACTCAACCAGATGGGTAGATTAATCCTAATCAAACATTTTCCTTTCCTCTATCCCTATACATATCATTTCTGTGCAGCAACTCCCACTGTCTATTATCAAAACCTTAAACAGGTTGATGGTTAATTTTTATTGGGGCAGCACTGATGGGGCAAACTGGAAGAAATGAGATGAAATTTGTTATCCAACTGATGAAGGAGGCCTGGGCTTGAGAAGTTTGTCCCAGTTACAAGTGGCAGCAAGCATGAAGCTATGGTGGAAAATCACACAAGGAGGGTCTCAATGGAGTGATTTCAAAACCTGTGGCAACATTATGAATATGGCTTCACCCTCCAGCAGCATCTCCTAAACTGGCGCCTTAGTTCAAACAAAAACAGCATCAAATGTAACCTCAGAATGCTCGTCTTCATTTGATCTATATATGGAAGTGTAATAATAATATCTTGTACGGCAATGGCACATTCTCCCCTTTCATTATCATGCTCTCCGTCAACAAGCTTGGTCAAAGTTGGTGCTGGTCTTATAAGGAAGATACTACCTTTCTTTATTTGAATGATGTACTTAGCTTTGGACTGTATACATTCCCTAGAAATAGGTCCCCTAGATGAACCTATGTATATAGCTTTAGTTGGGGGCATATTTCCTTTGCTGTATCTCTCCCACTTTTTCTACATCAATAAAACTTCCATTTATTTAAAATCTGTATCCTTCTATTCAGATCTACATTTAGGCTGTAATACTCGTTTTATGAATGAATGGATTGAAACAACTATCACGGGGCTGAAATGGATTGTTTGAAAAAACCTTATTTAGATGCTACTATCTATTCCCAATTAATACTAATATATGTTGCCTTTCTAACATCTGCAATCGGAGTGTAGATCCATAATTAAAGCATCCTCCCTCCAAGACGGTTCCAATTCTGAACCGGTACCGGAATCCTAGAATCCCTCCATGTTGTTTTCTTGATGCTAGCCTTTTCCCAGATACAGGTAGAGTTGGCTTTTAAGAAGTGTTCTACACGGTCTTGGTGGCAAGTTTCAGGCATCTTGTAGCGGCTCCGATGGTTGCGTACAAGGCCCGTTGATGGTTGAAGCTTTGGCGCGTCGGGAGATTTTAATGTGGTTGCGATGTAGAGGTATACGTGAAGTAAATGTTTTTTCTATTCTCTTTGGGTGCTTGCATGCTTTTTTTAATTACTACATTCGTCCATGAGTATTTTTCCAGTTTTGACTTTTTTCAGTCAAAATAGACAAATTTTGAACACCCCTTAACTAAAATTGGTATTAACTTTTGATACAAAAATTATTTTTTAGATATATATTGTATACAATATTTTCAAAATATTATTTTATCTATAATACACTCCTATTTAATTCAAGGTCAAAATTGAAAACGATTGACTGCAAAAAGTCAAAACTGAACAAATACTCAAGGACGAAGGTACTATTTGATAACAAAAAAGTTTTGTCACATCATGTTTTATACAATTTTTATGTACATTTATAGTATGTAATTCCTACTTTTTACTTCTATAAGAATTTGTAAAATGTAAATAAAATAATTTTTAAAAAGTTGGAATTTTGCTCATGGTTCGAAGTGAGACTAGAAAATTGCAACGGAGGGAGTAGATTAGATTTTTTGTTTAATTTTGATCTAGTATCTATAAATATAGGAACTCGTTTCAACGTATAGCTTAGACCATCTACAATGAGGCATGTTAGGAGTATACCAAAATATCACATATAGTATATTTGGTACCAAATTGGTTTTGTCAATCTCATACCGTTCACCTAGTTTTGCCGGAAAGTGGCAACTTCCAACCATTTCTGTCATGTAGTTTATATGACCGGATTGGCAAAGATAACCAGATTGGCATGCTTAACTTGGTTAGACTCGTGCACACAGGCCATGCAACAATGCAACATGTTAATGTTATTGTCACATGCTCATGCTAGAGTAAGGGTCCATTATGTTCGATTTATTTTTTCACTTTATTACTTGTTCATGTTAATATCAGAATATAAACAATTTTAAATATAACTACAATCAAATTAGATTACATCGATCAAATGAGATCTAATAAAATCAAACTAAATATTCAAAAAATCAGATCAAAAGAACAAAACGCATCCAGACTCCAACATTTTTTGTGTAATCATGATCCCAACTTTTGCATAAACATGAAGAGACAATAACCGTCATTACAATACAAACAATTATTGTCAATTGTGTTTGTGCAAAATTTGAGATCGCGATAACCCAAAATGTTGAGGTTATCCCTACTTAATCTTCGGCATTAACCTTTCCATAAAAAAGGATGAGCCACATTCCCGAATACCCTCTCAGAAGCTAATGTTCATAGATTGATGATAGAATTATGTCAAAGAGTGGAGCATGCGCTTAGTACTTGCAGAGGCCTAAGCATAGTTGCCTCCTAGCGTTGTTGATAGGAATTGAACTTGGGTCTTACCTCATTGCACTCATTGTTTCACCATTAACATTTAGAATCTCTTTGACATTAATATTCGAAATTAGCGTTAATATTTTTAAAATATAATATACAGTATCCTTTAGCATTGACTTTATTAGAATTAATTTATACCATTAATCATTATCCCAAAGAAGGCGTGAATTAATGGGCATTCGTGCATAACTAGGGACAACAAGCAAGAAGAAGCGTTTTTGGCATATGTCTCTTTTGATCACCCGGCCCACGGCCCTAACGGAGTAACGGCTATGGAAATTGAGTATGGGATAAATCAGCATCATCCTCATATTTCAAAATTCAAAAAAACCCATCTGCAGATTGCAGCCGCAGCGGTACAGACACTTGGAAATGGAGAACGCAGGGGAGGGGGTGGCAGCAGCCATGGATCCAGAGAGCCATTTCTTGGCATCCAAGCAAGAGACGGGCAACGAGTGGGAACTCTTCAAGGAGAACGTCAGGCCACTCAAGAGAGGCCGCAACGTCCGGCTTCTCAACCACGCACTCAAATCCAACTACGATTTCCACCTCAAGAATTCCCTTCTCCGTCAACGAAGGTTACTTCATTCCGCTCATTTGATATCTTCACTTTTACCCCACTGCAATCTAACCCTCCCTTTCATGGATCTCCCCCCACCAGGAGGCTGATTGAAGCCATTGACGAGTATAATGGCGAAGACCCCCTCCATCCATGGCTAGAGTGAGTAGACCTTCACCCGTTTTTCTTCAATTTTGGATCTTTTTGTGTTTCTCCCTTTAAATTCTGGCTTTTTAAGATCCCTTTCGTTTCCCATGTCTTATTATTCCGTATATTCACTGTACTTGTCAATCAAGTAAATTGTAAAATTCCCAGTACAAAATTGGGGGACTGAGATGCTGGCTTTTTATGGTGGATTCTATCTCAATTCACATCATTTTAGCAGCCAAAAAAGTATCCTTTGCTAGTTTGCTCCGATCGTTTGTATAGTCAACAATTTTAATGTAATAGAGTTACATAATTTGCCTGTTTCTTGTCATTAGATCTAAAAGGAACTTTTTTTTTCTGGGATAAAATCACCATGTAAAGGTGTATGAAGTGGGTTCAGGAGTCTTTCCCGCCTGGTGGAGACAGCTCAGGACTGGTCGTGATTTATGAGCAATGTGTCCGCAAGTTTTGGCATGATGATCGCTATAAAGATGATCTTCGCTACTTGAAAGTTTGGTTGGAATATGTAGGTTCCATTTCCTCAACTGTTTCTCCCTTTTCAACACCCCATAGAGTTATTAAGAGAATATATAAATGAGTTTTCTTATTGTGTTTTCATTTGATCATTTTGGAAGGCTGAAAATTGTGCGGATGCAGAAGTCATCTATAGATTTTTGGAGGCAAATGAAATTGGTCTGTCACATTCTTCCTTCTACTTGGCATACGCGTTGCTCATGGAATCTAAAAATAAGATTAGGACTGCAAATGAGATATTCAACTGCGGGATATCTATGTAAGTTCTTCATACTTTGTTCGCAAATAATTCGTGATTGGTTGATGCACTTTGTGTTTTGCATTGGAAATTCAGTTATGTTAACGTCTTAACGATGATCATTAGCTTATGCATTTGGCTCTGGATTGTGTGTTTCTGTACTATTTCTATTCCTTTTTTTTTCTCTTTGACAGAAATGCTCAGCCAATTGAAAAGTTGAAGGAAGCTTATAGAACATTTCTCTCTAGGTCAATGGGGAGACCAAAAGAAGCAGAGGTTTGAAATGTACTCCTTTAGGGTTCTTTCACCTAAGTTCTAAATTTTATTTGTTGTGTTTTCCTTAATGAATGATAAATCTCTGCAATTGGCCAGGAAGATCCAACCGAAAACCAGTTGCAGGTTCGAAGCTTTGGTACTTTATTGAGTAAAGGGGCCACTGGTAAGCCCTTAAATAAACCTCACGTTCCTCTTGAAAATTTGAAGAAGTTTCGTTAACATGGGGTAATATATCTCTTTCACGCAGGTAATCAAGCTACAGATAGTTCTGGGGTTTCCATTAAGAAGATGAAGCATGGAAAGTAAGTGAAAATGGATCTCTCCCTCTTACTTGGCAGCATGCATTATGTTTAAAGAACTCGTGTTTGACCGGAAACTAATTTTTTATGCTGATAAAGTACATTTCATTAGTCCCGAAGTTAAATTCTATATGTCGGTTTAGCTAAAGTTATCATACAAAACTTGTGCTTGATATTTTTGTGTGTGAAAATTACATGAAAATCCAGTTCTGCTTCATCTCTTCTTTTGGGACCAAAAAAATGTTTCTTTTCAAGATTCTTTGGAAATCCATGCTACTTCTTTTATGAATATGTATGTTGATTTATAATATGATTATATGACAGCAAACTATGTGCTGAAAAGTCTAGCCATCTAGGCCCAATATGCTAACTCTGTTGCTTTACTTCACTACTGATTTTTAGAGCATTGGAATTTGGATGTGTTCATAATGAATTGAGACTAAAATGTTGTGACTTGTTAGTGATATTGCAAGCACAAGTTGACACGTAATGTGGTTTGTGTCCCATTATCAGGCCCCATGGTGCACTTTTGCCTATTTATAACGATACAAACGCCAGTAATACCACATCAAGGCATCATGTAGAGAAATCCAAGTTGGACAGCAAATCACCGTGGCACTGCCTTGGTGCCCGCGGAGAAAGGAACAAAGAAAATCTTGCAATTCCTTCCAAATGGACATCAAATAAGGTTTACCTATCTTGTGAACTCAAGAATTCACTTTGCAAACAGGATGTTTCACTCATAGTGCCTTTTTTTCAGATTCCTCAGAAAACAGCACATAGAAATAGCAGAGCCACTGCTCCTAGCATTGAGGTCTTTGTGGATGAAGAATGCAAAGAGTGCGTATGGTGATATCTTTGTTAGACTTTTTGTATTCGCGAATGGGTTATCCGCTTGCCCATTCCTTACCAATATCGTTTCAACCTTTTTTTCTTTGTATACTCAAGCAGAACGAATAAAGCAGAAAACCAGGGTGAGGTCTCTACTCTACATCTCCGACATGGGGATGGCAAAGACACAAAGAAGTAAGTCAGTCAATCAGGACATCTAAGTTACAAGTCAAAGTTTGGTAATCAAATGTGTAAATGATATATGTGTTTGATTACATTACGTTTCATTATGGGTTGTCAAATGATACCTTCTCTTATTTTCTTGTCATTGACCTTTCTGCTTCAGTTCAGTGCTAATCCAAATGATGTCTTTAACTACTGTATCCAGGGAAACAGAGCTGTTGAGGGAGAACCCACTGCATTACTTCCCTGCAAGCTCTCTGCCAAGATGATTTGTGGTTTCGGGAGGAAAAAAGAACAAACTTTTCAAAGCTTCTATGTTCTTGTTGGAATTGGCTGTTTAGGTGGCGTGGCTATCGTACATGATTGATATCCAGTGAACATACTCCAAGAACATTGTGTTGTGTTCTTCTTTAGATATCAGCCATTTGTTGTTGTAACCTTTATATATGTTATGATGACAAGAAAGATGTGTATTTTAGAATTTGCATGCTTGAATCATCTTATTATCCCCTTTGTTGAAACTTGAAAGCATTACATCATCATTTGATGATGAGTAGGATGAGAAGCTAGAAAAGGGATTATGTTTTTTTATATGCAAGCGGATGTTTCCCGGGTTGTGAGAACGTATCCTAATTAGGCTGTTTTCTTTTCAATTGTAGCCAAACTTTTATTTGGAAAGTGTTATCTGTGTATCATATTCATTCATACAGCACCAAATATTTGAACTACATTGGCCATTGTAAAAAAAAGAAGATAAAATTGGTCTCTAGTTCAAAAAATTTGTCTATGGAGTACATGAGGCACATCCACGCTTTAAATCCACTAATCATTTTGATATATCCTATAATGGTTTGTAGTTTTCAAGGTTACAATTTTCAGGAATTCAAAACGTGTGTAAACCGAGTTTATAATTACCACCCAACTCCTGTATTGATTTTGAACTTGATTGATATATTGTATTGATATCAAATTTATTGTGGACTTGAAAAGGATGAATTTTTATAAAGTTATATGAATGCGTGACAATATTATTACCAAAAGGCCTTTATATACTCATAAAAAAGAACCAATGAGTAAACAAGGAGCACCTACGAAACTCCAACTACACATGCTAATAATGGAGTGATAGAGAAGAAATGTGTAGCCAAACCTGAATAAAAAAGATAACAAAATACTCCCTCCATCCCACTATATTTGTCTACTTTCATTTTTTTACACCATCCAATATACTTCTTTAATCTATTTTATCTTGTAATTTGTATGTTAAAAAATTATAGAAATTATATATTAATAATCTATATGTTAAGACAAATCAAATAAGATCACGCATGACTATATTTAGGCTTACACATTGAGAGAATTTGATGAGTCAAAGTGCTTAGATGAACAGTTCCAAAAGTCAAAAGTGGACGAATATAGCAGGATGGAGGGAGTATGTATTTACTCGGTACAACAGATCTACACTAAAGAAGTGTAAGATGTGTTTTTGATCTTTTAAAAATTACTTAATTTCATTTTTAAGGAATAATACTTAACTAAAACTAAAACAAGGCTCACATATTTTGTTTGGTACATGTCTAACACTCTAACATATTAATATAAGAGCTTTAATATTTCATACGAAAAAAATAATTGATAATATTAAATAATGTCACAACTTGGTAGAATTTAAGATGAGAAAAGAATCATTGGATTGGGCCATAAGAATCAATCGGTTACTTAGTTCAATTCAAAAGTTTATGCTCCGCATATTGACTATCCCCTGATTTTTTTAACACCGACATCTAAAGAATCACGAGCCGGTGAGTATGAACTTTTGGACTAGCAATCGAATAAAACGAGCCACAGATTGTTTGATATGCATTCTACACTCACAAATGAGCTAAAAACAATGACTACTAGAAATGAATCTCAAGATGAATACCTTGACAAACAAGGTAAGTTAAATCAGACTTTGATAGCATGATACTCCCTCCGTCCCCCAGTTTTTGTCCACTTTTGACTTTTGAAACTATTCATCTAAGCACTTTGACTCATCAAATTCTCTCAATGTGTAAGCCTAAATATAGTCATGTGTGATCTTGTTTGATTTGTCTTAACATATAGATTATTAATATATAATTTCTATAATTTTTTAATATACAAATTACAAGATAAAATGGATTAAAGAAATGCATTGGATGGTGTGTAAAAATGAAAGTGGACAAATACTCTGGGACGGAGGGAGTAAAATTTTAGATTGAATAACCCAATTGATTATTTAATTCGACTTATTTCTATTTTGTTTTCTAATCAAACAAAAAAAGCCCTTTGAAATACAAATTTAGATTGTCTAGAAATTTACGTGTTTTGTTCTGTTTTCTCGTTTCTGATTGGCCAGGTGACGCTGATTGCAACCGGCTAGGAAACATGGCCGAAACTGGGCGGGAGGGAAGGAAAGTTCTTCACCTTCGTCTCTAAGCAAAGCCCTCACCGACTCCGCCACTAAATTCTCTCAACCCCTAAACACGAGCTTCTGAAAGCCCCCTGTATCTATCCATATTATATTTCTGATACAGCACAAGGGAGAGCCACACCCTAAAAGCTAGCTGATAAGGTGGGAGAACCCTTGGCTATATAAACCCATCACCAAGTTCCCCATATAACCGGTGTGGGACAATGAAATCAGTCCGTATCATTCGACCCCCCATAAGGCCCAACATCCTCGTTGGTCACGGCTACGTTGGTCACGGCCACGTTGGTCACGGCTGGTTTCACCAGGCCACCACTCCGTAGGCCACCACTCCGAGTTGGCTCTGATACCATTGTTACAGGCCAAACGGAAGAACTCAACCCAAAAGACTAGTCTGATAGGTGAGGGAACCCATTTGGCCTATAAACCCCACATCAATTGCTCATACAACCGATGTGGGACAAGTCTCATACCTTGCAATGGTTTCAGTCCATAACATTCGCCCCTCCTTAAGGACCTCGTTGGTCAGGGCCACGTTGGTCACAGCTGGCTTTCTCCAGGCCACCACGTTGGTCACTGCAGCGGGATTCTCGGATCCTTCGCCCGATTCGCTTCCACTGTCGATCGGAGACATCGAGCAGATTTTGTTGAATGAAGACGATGATTTTGGTCCTGTGGCGGGGGAAGGGTCATTTGAGGAGCAAGACGTAGGGTTCGATTGGAGTAGTTTACTACTGGATTCCCCTTGCGAGGCCTCGGATTCCAAATGCTCTAGCGGCGGGTCTGAGGTTGAGGAGAGGGATCTGGTCGACCCGTTCCAGCAGAAGCTTGACTGTGTTGCCCAGGTGCTTGGTAGTGATAATGGAGATCCCGTAACAAAAAACGCAAGAGGTACTTCTTTCATCTAATTTTACTTTATGTTTTGTTTTGTTTTTTTCGAATTATTTTTATCTCGTTCCTAAAATATGCGTTGTTTTGGACTGGAGACTCTGTATATTTACCCTAGTTTCATTCATATTAATGTTTAGCATTTCTTTCTTTTGATTGATTGGTGTGGAAATGTAGAATGGATTGCTGTTATTTCTTTTCTGGTTAACGTTTAGCAGTTTTTTTTTAAATCGTATGATTCTTCGCCAGGCAACTGAGGAACAGGGATGCAGCAGTGCGATCAAGGGAGAGGAAGAAGATGTATGTGAGGGATCTTGAGCTGAAGAGCAAATACTTTGAATCAGAATGCACGAGACTGGGGGTGATGCTTCAGTTCTGTCTAGCCGAAAATCAAGCTCTGCGCTTTTATCTGGAGAACAATAACAAGAAGGCCGTTGGTGCTTCGAGTCCAAGGCAGGAGTCTGCTGTGCTCTTGTTGGGTAAGCCTGCCACACAACCTCCTCCTTCATTTCATTCTTTCTCTTTCCCTTTTTCCACACTTTTGTGTCAAATGGTCTTGTTTTGGTTCAATTTTTAACGTTAGGTAAGACTCTCATTGCACTCTGTGTCGAAGACATTGGCATTAGTTTTGTGTTTTTCACTTTTCTATTAGCACGAACTTCTCAACGCACGAGGGACTGGACTGTGTTTCCACTTCAAAACAAAAACAATGACATGTTGTTTTCTTGGGAGCATATTATGTTAGTCACTCTAGTAGTTGTGAGAGTATGATCCAACAACATGGTTTGTTTGATTGTGCAGAATCCCTGCTGTTTGGTTCCCTGCTTTGGTCACTGGGCATCATCTTCACATGCCTGTTCATCCTACCATCCCGGCTCCTGTCAACCCTACTGCGAGTCCTTCCTCAAAAAGGGCAAGAAGACCAAAATCAGGCAAGCCGGATAAAGGCGGGAAGGGAGCAGAAGAGCATTAGAATTTGTGTCTTCCCAACTATGATGGGCAAGAGATACAAAGCTTCGAGGTCAAGGTTGAAGTATGCTTGTCATTAGTGTTGCACCCCTGTGCTTTTCTTCACATTATACTCTGCACTGTCTTTTGAGTTTTGATCATCCCGGAACTTATGGGTTATCACATAGGAAAATTTAGTTAAATAACACTAAAACATAATGACTTTCCCTAAATAGCATCATATATGTTTTTCTTCCCAATATAGCACTTTTAGTCATTATCCATTAGTCATTATTCAAGTAATGTTCGCTATCACTAGACATTATTGACATGATTAAGCAATATTTAGGGAATAAAACAATTTCAGTGACATTTTAAAAAATGACTTAAGTTTTAGTGTTATTTAATGCAAATATTTCTTATAGACATTCTACACTCCTACCTGTTGTCCGTGAGAATTTTTTGAGAAGCCATCTCGGGATAGTCCGGAACATTAAACAAAACTAGTACATCACACGTGCGATGCACGGAGAGATAAAGCATTTTGTGAGTGATGTATCATACTCCCTCCGTCCCATATCTTTCTTCTCACTTTCCTTTTCGAGCCGTCCCATTTGATTCTTCTCGTTTCCTAAAATGGAAAGAAAATACATCTAAAGTTACTCTTTTACCCTTATTTTTTTTCTCCCCAATTCTCAATCTCATTACTCTCGTACTCCCCCATCTCTCCTTCTCTCTCTTATTCTTCTTCCTCTTTCTTCTCTCTTCTTTCTTTTTCTTCTTATTCTTCCTTTTTTTCAACGTCAGACTCCACCCCCATCTCCTTCTTTCTTTTCTTCTTCTGATACCCTCCCAAGGTGGTGCGAAGGGCAGTGGTGAAGGGAAGGATGAACCTATCAGATCTGAAAAAGCCTACAGATCTTAGCAGCACGGCGGGGATTTTAGATATGCAGTGGAGCTTTCAGATTTGCAGTGGAATTTCTTGATTAGTTTTTTATTTCTTCGCCCGGCCCTTTGTCTCTATCTTCATCTTTTCACCGGTTTTCTTTTCAATTTCTTTGAGGAGTAATCTTAAATTTGACATTCCTAAGTTTGATGAGATTTATTTTTGATTTTTTACATTGAGAGTAGGAAGGAGGGCTGGGGTAGGTGGATTTGAGGTTGAAGNTTAAAGTTGAAGAAAAAAAGAATTGTTTGGGTGATAGGAGGGCTGGTCGGCATGGGCTGGGTGGAGGAAATAGAGGGCAAGATTGGAAAGTCAGAGTAATTTTCACTTTACATTAAAACCCGTGCCAAGTCAAAACGGGAAGTTTCAACTGGGACGGAGGGAGTATTATTTATCTAACTCTAAATATAAGTATAACATAAAGAATGTGTTTTAAAGAATACTATATTCAATGCCTAATACTCAAATGAAGCAAAGTAAACAATGTATGTTAAACATGCATCATACATTCTCAACATCTTCTTATAAACTACATTAATTGTAGTATTAGATGGAGTATCGTCAGAATTACATACCATGATTTTTAATCCCTCGCGAGACCGCACCCTAAACATGGCCACATACAACTATCCGTGACTAAAAACATATTTTTTCAAGAATAAACCAACATGAGAGACGCACTGTCCCTGACTCTTGTTTATGGTCATCGCATACGATACCATAATTGGAAATTGTCTTCTTTGAAACTTAAATGTTAATCTGGTATCTGATGGAGACAATGAAAATCGGGGTATTAAAACCGTTTGACCTGCATTTTTTCCATGAATCATCTTTGCTTCCAAAAGACGGTTACCCAATCTTGTAACAATTAAACGTGTTTAGTTGCACGGACCATTAACAAGATAAATGTTGCGCAAAAGCATTGTCGGAGTCCCAACTTTTAGTGTTAGTTCGTGGTTTGGAATTCTTGAAGATCTGATTGAGTTCAAATAATCTGTGATGTGTAAATCCCCAACTAAAGAAACACTCATATCAACACTATCATCTTCTTCATTCATTTTGATCATGTATTGATTTATTGATTCAACTATTTCAAGTGTTGGGGCTAAAATTGCTCTTTATTGTAGTAAACTATTTTCACAGAAATTTGTTACAAATGTAGGGTAAATAGTTTCTACCATTTTTCATATAGGATTATTCCCTGGGTCAACCAGTAAATCTGATGGAAATTCAATTTCTGCACAATCATCATTTGGATCACCAACCTTTCCATCTCCAATATCTGTTATCCAAATGGTAAAAAGTTGGATTTCTGTGCTTTCACTGTCATTTCCATTCGAAACTCTAATGTTCTTGGTAAGTTTCAAGATTTTGCAATTAGACCACAAGTATGAAGAATTAATAGAGGCTAAAACAATATCTTTGGAAATTATTAGAAGTATTTGTCTAAAATCACCACAAAAAACAATTGATGCAGGAGTGTTTCGTTATTATATTTACCATTTATTAAAACTTAAGTAGGAGTGTAAATCATAACGAAAAAGTTTCTTCTATATAACTTAAGAACTTCCATAAATAAAGATAATATTTCTATATAATGGATTATTGATAATTAGAAAACGAACTACATTCAGGTAAAACATTACAAATGATACTTGTTGATTATGTCACCGCTAGTTGAACGAAGTACAGTCGAAATGTTGAAGGAGTTAAGAGCCTGTCTCAATGGGAATGTTGGCTTTGGTTTATGGGCTTGAACTACAACCAAAATACAAATAATATATATATGTATATATATGTATATATATTTTTTTTATTTTTTTTTATTTTTATTATTATTATTATATAATGAACGGTCGGTTACAAAGCAGGGGGCCCGAGGCCCGTTAACCTCGTGACTACCCCGGGACCCGTTGACACCCGAGGTAGATAGCCCACTATAGAAAGCCCAAAGTAAGCCCAATCTAAAGCCCATGCCCATAAGCCCAAATCTACTTCCCAGGGAAGGGGGTCACCCATCATTTTTGCTACTCCCATGTCAGCACGCTTAATTCTTTAAAATTCCTCCAAATATGCATCTTCTGTGATCGAACCCGGGTAGTGTGGTTCGCCAATCAACCCTGTGACCATCTCTACAGGGAGAACCACGTATATATATGTATATGTGTGTGTGTGTCTATATATATATATATATATATATATATATATATATATATATATATATATATATATATAGGGAGTAATAAATTTAAAAGATAATTGACTAACCATTTGTTAAAAATCACCAGAAGGAGAATAGTCAGAATCTCTTTTCGTGTCCTGACTTGATGTGCAAATCCTTGTTAGAATTCTTCTATCTTAGATTAAATTCATGTATTAGAATATGAAATTTATTATAAATATTTTTTCATTACTCATTATGTCCTCAAATTCCGATCCACTATATTTTTTTGGGGGTATAGTTCGTAAAATCAAATTAATAATTACATTTTGAATCACAATATAATTTTATATAAAAATAATTATTTTGATTATACTCATTATAATATTGGAAGTATAAAAAAGGAATCATATATTTCGACAATTTAAGACTCAATATCATTTAATAAATTACTCCTTCCGTTTTTGGTTTCCAACATTTTGTTCAATTTATTTCCAAATCATCTTAAAAGAAAGAGATGCGAATTCCAAAACAAAATTATTTTTAATCATGATTAAATTATAATATACTACCTTCGCCCCTAAGTATTTGGCCAGTTTTGAATATATTGGTCAATCATTTTTAAACTTTGATTTATATTTAAAGAAAATGTATATTATATATATTAAATAGACAAAATAATATTTTGAAAATATTTATTTTAATAAATATAATAAAACTATAGTTTTATTAATATTATTTTTATTTAATTAGAGATCAAATTTTACCAATTTTGATAAAAAAAATCAAAATGGGCAAATATTCAGTGAGAGAAGTATTAAATAAAAGGAACAGCACAGGCATTAAGAGCCCACAAAATTGACCGGCCCAACATTTTTAATGGCCCAGAAGAAATTTGATATATAACCCCTACTTCTCTTAGCCTAACCCTCATTCCCGTATTCACACACCTGTGTCGCCGCTCTCAACCATCTCTCTAACTCTCGTTTCGTCTTCATCTATCTTTCGCCACTCTCCACCATCTCTCTCATATATTCACCAAAAAACCATTTTGTTCTTGGCGATGCAGACATGGCTTCATTTCCAATTGTGTTTTGTTCAATATCAAATTTTTGGATTGTTCTTGGCACAGGTTTGATTTAATCTTTTTTTTCATTAAAACGAATATAGTTTTAAACTGTGTGATATTTATTTTTTTTGTTCTTCGCATACATATATCTTCCGATTTACATCCTGAGATCTATATATTCTCTAGATCTATAGAGCTTTAAGTATTTATTTTTTACATCCTCGAATTAATTTTTTTTATTTTTTTCATCGTTGCCTTTATCCAGATACTTTTCGGGCCCGTATTTTTTTGCCTCTATAACTTTTCTGAAGGCAACGAAATATAAAAAAATCTTTCTCACACACGAATTAATAACTCTCCAGATATTTCATACACTCACCAGATAAGAATAGGGATAGTGTAGAGGGAAGTTTCAGGGATTTAGGCTAAGTAAATAGGGTTTATGGGTGTATAGTGTGTAGGAGAGGAAGTGTATATATAGCTGGAATCAAATGCTATATTACACTGGGAGTTTCAAAACAGGAAGTGACTGTTTTGGTCTCTACCACTTGGAATGAATAAATGTCATGTGCTCTAGAGACCATGTCCCATGCTTGTATGTAATTAAGTGATTTCATCCTATTTTTGCAGAACTGCTGTACTTTGTATGAAGTTGGGATAATTTGAATAATTAAGAGGCTTTGATAATTGGTCTTATATGTTTTCTCATATATTGTTTACTCAACGGAAGGAAATTAATACGTATCTTGGTGTGGCTACCTAGCTGTCCAGGAGCAGCCATGGCGTATAAATTAATTTCTTAAAATGATTATATAAGAAGAGAATATCTAAGCCTCTTTATATTAGCTTTGAAATTGATAATTTTTCTTGGCAATACATAATGCTCCTTACAATCCATTAGTCATTATTCAAGTAATGTTCGATAGCACTGAACATTATTCACATTATTAAGTACTATTTAGGGGTTAAACCAATTTAAGGGCCATTTAGAAAAATGACTTAGGTTTTAGTGCTATTTAATGCAAATATTTCTTATACACATTCTACACTCCTACCTGTTGTCCGTGAGAATTATTTGAGAAGCCATCTCGGGATTGTCTGGAACATTAAACAAAACTACTCTTGATAAATTTGTTTTGACATGATTTATCAAATACGCCATATTTAAAATTCCATTTCCTTTTCATTAAAAAAATCCATTTTATGAAACATTGCAATTTATGAATAATGAGTGGTAGAATTCAATGGGTTTGATTACCTAATTCAAAGTATGATATCACTTTTTTTTCAGTTTCCCGCACAAAAATTATCTGAAATAATTTCACATTTTTATAATCTTTCAAAAAATAATCTCATGCGTACTAATCTCATTTTTCACATGCCTGCAATCGTCGTTAGAAAGTTAATTGTCACTTAAGATTTCTATAGAAAAAACCTATTATGTACAAATCAATAAAAGGTGGGAATAGTTTAGTTGAATTCTTTTTTTACATGTTTTCACTTTTTTTATTTTATATTCTAAAATTACATTTTGAAAAAATATAACAGTACAAAGTAATTATAGTTACTGTAATGGTGGAAAAACTATAATGGTGGAACACCAAAAAATAATTTAGAGTCCCGCTTGAGAAAAAATTTACTTGCTACATACAAAAACAACCGTAATGAGCTATATAAAAATTTGTGCCATTTTGGATAAATAAATCCTTGTGCCATTTTCACATTCTTTGTAATGTTAAATCTGTCTTTGCTTAATCTGGTTCGGTTTAGTCTACTATATTTTGTATCGGTGAAAATAATTAATTATTTATAAATTATATTTCTTTAATTAATTTTATTATAAAAGTTTTGATGTTTATCTTGTATTTAATGTTACGATGAATGTGAAATCAAAATTTATTTAATGTTATATTTTTGTTTTTCATAATAGTTTCTTTCAATATACGCTAATTTAAAATAAGAAATCAATTCCCATAATATCTAATATGAGAGTACTTTTATTATGAAAAGTATGAAAGGATTTAAATATAATATATTAATCTTAGTCGCACACTTTTTGGATATCTAAAAAAATTTATACTCTGTATTCCACTCTCTTATCTTTGAAGAAAAAGTGACACGATATTTTTCTTTAGATGAATTTGAAATGTAATTTTTTTTACTTTTTAACATTTTAAAACTATATAAATTAAAATGGTGGAATTTTTATGAATTGGAATAATTATATTTTTTTTAATGATATCAACTCTTTTACAAAGTAGTATTCGTTCATATTATTCCAAACTGGAAGGAGTATATAGTTTACTTTTTTAATTGTAAAAAAACATGTGACAACTTTAGGATATGTACTCCACTTAAGAATCAGGAAAATAACTTTTGAAAATCATTTGGAAAATCAAAGTCAAATGAAAAATAAGGTTTGGTCATAGACCCTAATTAGCGTAGTGGATTGTGACTTCCGCCACTTCCTTTAAATAGTAAAGTCATTTTCCGCTTCCTCTTCGCTCAACTTTGTCGCTCATCTTCTGCCTCTCTCAACGTCTTCATCCGATCCAGCCTGTTCGATTTCTCTCTTCTTTGTTCCAGGTATGGCTCATCTTTTCTCCCTCCTTTCTAATTCTCGCGTCTCTAATTTTCTATTTTTCTTTTTTGTTGTTTTTTCAGAAAAAATAAGAATTTTTTATTGATAATTTAATCATCTGTACTTTATTTTCTTCACATATTAAGAATCTGGGAAAAATCAAGAATCTTCTCTGAAATTTATTTTGTTAATGTAATTTTGAAAATAATATATCAATTTTGAAGACAAATATTATTGTTAAAGAAGAGGGTGGAGGTAAGCCATAAGAGCAAACCTGAAATTTCATAGAATATAGGATTTTATATGTATTTAAATTGTTTTGTATAATCCCTCATTGTAAAGTTGTATTCTTTGTATAGGAAATGTGGTGATATTTAATTTGCTGCAAATCTGCAATTGCAATTGTTGCTTCTAGATTAAACAAGTGTAAGATTAATGGCATTCAAAAGTAAAGAGCGGCGGTGAGGGTGGCAGTGTGGCGGTAAGGGTGATAGTGTAGTGGTGGCGGCGGTGGCAATGTGCGGGTGGGGGGTGGTTGTTTGGGGGACATCGATAGATGTGTGGTGGTGGTGACCCCGACAGTGTGGCACTGTGGCAGTGTCATGGCGGAGGTGATAGTGTGGCGAGTGGGGCGACATCAATATGATATGGTATAATGGTGAAGGTGACAGTGTGGCGGGATGCTGGCAGTTTGGGGGCAGGGGCAGAAATGTGGCGGTGGTTCTCATGGCAGTGTTGCGGCGACGGTTGTGCGGCACCAGTGCAACCACAATGGTGGTGACTAATTTATTTTTTCATGGTAAATTTAATTTTGCATTAAAGTTATCACCCGAGCTCTAATCTTCTGTGCTTAGCTTTTCTAATTCCCATTTTTTAATTAAATTAGCCTAAGAAAGAAAAAGATTGGGGAGAAACTTGACAAAAGTTTGCGTTTACCTTCAACAGTTGTACGTTGAGGGAAAATTTGGAATATATTATGCTAATTACTCTTATCTTTGTCCGAGAACAGCTCAATTCCCATTTTTGGCATTTCTAATCTTAATTACTCCTATATTCATCCTTCTCCATGATTAGAAAACCCAACAACTCCACTTACCTTTGTCTTCTCTTATGTGGAGTGCATTTTCTTTTTTGTATTCTCTCCATGATTCATCTTAGATCTAAATTTGGAGAGAAGAAGATCCCTTATTTAGGTCCATTCAATTTTTTTCATAGATTTCATTATTGCTAGAGCAATTTATGATCTTTCTAAAATCTCCTATTGCGCTCCTTCCCATATCTCCCTCAAATGGGCTATTCTTTTTACTAAATCCATCTCTTATCTCAAATAAAAAGGTGAAGATAACTAGAGATGAGCGAAAAAGCAACCGATGATGATGCTGCTTTCATGCCGAATGCAACGAAGTGGATCTCCTGTGTTGCTTATCACATTAAGTAATTACAGTTGATTTCTGTGAGGATGATGGTGTCTAACTCTGGGTCTGTTAAAGAAAGGGGATGTGATGGCCAACAATTTCGAAGAAAGTGACGGAGGAGTTCAACACATGTGCCTAGGTCGCAAGACATGAGGGTGAAAAGAATTGAACTTCTAGAAATTGACAAAATTGGAAGAAGAAGAAACTAGCGAAGACTGAAGAGCCATCTATTATACAGAGTTGTTGTCGAAGGGAAAGGCTGAAGGGATATCCTAAAGATTAGGTTAAAAGCTCAAGTTGTTATTGCAGTTGGTTGCATGGCCACTATATATTGAAATATAGAACATTGTGTTATTGCAGTTGGTTGCATCGCCACTATATATTGAAATATAGAACATTGTGTTTTTAAGTGATTAGAGAGTCTACAACAAGCCAGAGGGGATTCAGACTTACCGAGAGAAATCTCTGATCTCAAAAAATGCCACTCAATACAAGCTGAATCTTCCTCCTCTTCTTCATGTTTATCTTCTTCATTCGCAATTCATATATTCATCTTAACATGTACTTTTTTGCCAGTATTTTCCAAAGTTTTATCATGTTATCAAAGCAAACATTCTAGATTTAGCCACGATGCTCGACCGTCTTCTCAGAGTGCTCTAAGGGGTTGATGAAGATAAGAATACTTTAGTCAAGGTGAGTTCATCTGAACTTAAGAATGGGGCCCACCTAGATTAATTGTTACACAAGTCAAAACTTACTAGCAAATGGTGATAATATGAAAATGGGTCCATGCCATATTGCAAATTGCTCTTCGAGCTAAGAAAAATTTAGATTCATTGTTGGATCAAGTTCTTTAACAAGAATAACGTGACAATGTAAATGTCACAGGTGTAAGTTTGGTTTTTCCATGTCTATGGAAAAATAGCGTGACAATGAAAAAGTTCATCAATTTCTTAAGCACATTTTCCACACCCCCGTTCTACGACGCCTGGACGTCGTGTCGTTGTCCCCTTCCCTCTTTTGCCAGCTATAAAGGTAATGTTTGTGATTGCCATGCCATTTAGTTATTCATTTGATTCTTTTAAGACCAATGACTGTATACCTATATCTTTATGATGCAATTATTTTTTATTTATTGTTGGGTTCAATATGTTTTTTTTGTTAAAAAATTTTCATTTGACATTCGCTTTACCAAGAATCATAGTTGTCTTGTGGAAGTGTTTACATTAATTTCTTTTGGATTATTAACCATGTGATGGACCCCTATGTCTAGTGTCCATTCACTCCATACATCTTCACAGTGTATTGATGAACACATACTCATGGCTAAAAGAGATGCTCCATCACCTATCATCATCCGTGAGAGGAGGAAATGGGATGTTCAAGCTGGATCTCACAAAGGGTTTTGATAGAATCTCTTGGCCTTACCTTGGAAATGTCCTTGGCAGGTTTGGGTTCTCCAACAAGGCAATCTAGTTTTTCATAGGCAATGTGGAGGCAAAAAAGTGAACATACTTCTCCATCTTGATTAATGAGCAGTCTTCTGGATTTTTCCCAATTAAATCAGTTGCTTCACGAACAGGGAGCATATGACTAATACGTTGTTTTATGTTGTTTGCCTTATATCCGCGAAACAATTCAATTGATTTATCTCTATCAATCTTTTCCTCACTCTAGAGATAAACAAAGTCTTAAATAACTTGCCATGAATTTATAGTGGCAACAAGTAATGATCCAAATTCTTCGGATCATCACAATCAATTTTGAGATAAATACTGAAATATGTTCTCAAAACGGATGCATTCAGAAATGGCTATGATTAAAATGGCTAATGATTTTTTGGTTTTGAGTATATGTTCGGGACTTGTGGCTTTCCCCAATGCAGCAGCTAAAACAATATGTCGAACCGAATCTGACACTGCTACAAACTTAATTTTTAAATGCAGAAGCTCCGGAACATTAGCACCTAAAGAGTTATAACTTCCGGATATGTTTAGTTGAGTAGAGTTTGGAATAAATCTAATACCTTCAGCTATTGACTTTTGATTACAAAACTCAAAATAGTGGCATCACAAAGTAATAACATCTATAAGTTATAAGTTATCACATCATCATATTAAATATAAAACATCATCATCGACGTGGCATCACAAAGTAAAGATGTGTGGAGTGGATGCACGCAGGAGGGAATCCATCACAGGGATCATGCGGTCATTAAGTTTTATATGAGTAGAGCATCGAGAAGAAATGGAAGTAAATGCATCCACAACACAAGTACGACTCTCGCTAAAGCGAATGTCAAATAGAAATTTTTGGACAAATAGAGACATACCAAACTCAGCAATAAATAAAAAAATTTGCATCATAAAATTATACGGAGTAGATCCAAAATGATTCAAATGAATAACTAAATCGCACCAAAATCTGTTAGCTACTTGTTGGAGGCAACGAGGCAGTAGGTTTTCAGACATGCATACATCATATTAAACACAAAAACTAGTAAATTAAAGATTAATTAGTTCTCAGTCAAGCACTAATACAAATCTTAGCAAATAGTGTTGGTAGTAAGTAGGGATCTAAAGTAAGAAAAAATGCCCCACGGAGAAAAAATGCCCTACGGAGATACTCATTCGTTCGGTTCGTACATTTTACACAAGATATAGAGAGAATTCGTTTAGAGAGTCGGAAAACCTATCATCTCCGCCTACTTCCAGCGAGTGAAGCTACACGGACCACACCGTTGGGGAGAGGAGGACGAGAGCCAGCGATTGACGTACATCACACATCCAAGGGGCTCAACTCCGAACCTCGGTAGCTATGGTTTTTATATGCATCAGCTCTAATTCGTAGTTCTAGACCTCAATAGTTTGGATTCTGAAGTTTTGAAAATATAATTGCATACTTGTGATTCTCAATTTTGGAATATCAATCTGTTTGGGTTGCGTGGTTTGGATATGAGTTGTTATTGTATCATTTTTGTGTGAAAATTTGAATCTGGACTGTTTATATGAGATTAGCAACTTGTTTGATGTTGAGAATTAAGATAGCATGCTTAAAACCTTGATGCTTTTTTGACATAACTGAAATGAGTGAGTTGTGGACTGTCTTTGGTTCGGTTTGTGAGTTGTGAGCCTAAATCAATGTGTTGAAGCATGTTGTGTGCTTATTTGGTGGATTTCTGAGTAGTAGATTAGATGAGCATGCTTTGAATGATGGTTCATGCTACTTTGTTTGTTTAAACTGAATGAATTAAGTAAACAGGACTATTAATTGTATTCTGACCTCTTGAGAGCACATCAATTGCTAAGAGAGGCAGAACAAAGTGCTAAACAGAGGGTTCAGATCATGTAGTTAGTGATCTCTATCCTTTGTCCTTTTAATCTTGTTTCATTATACAATTTTGCTGGCAGAGTTGTAGTGAGATCTTGAGTGCTTGTTTTGCTTGAATGCTTCTTTTCTAGTTAAACATATGAGCTGGTTTAGAGGTTGCTAGAAGAGAAAGGGCTAGGTTTAGGGCTGGTTCTAGACTTAACTAATCGATATGAAAAGCAAGTGGATCAATCCACTAGCTTGAGTTGCTCGGTATTCACCCATTTAATTGGCTAATGATCACAACTCTTGGTTCATGAATTCACAAACCAAACCAAAGTATCTTTTCTGAATTACAGAACAATGTTTGAGTTTTAGATTGCTGTTTGATTTTAATCTGTGGTGTTTGTTGAACTCGAGTTAGTGAACAGTTAAGCTAAAACCAGACCACCAACTAGTGGTACTAAGGTACTAATTTGTTTGACACGTAACAAGTGCTCAACATCCAACCATTGCCGGCATTCACGGGTGAGTGATTTCACATTAATAGGCAATTCAGAGCGACTAGGGATACACTTGCAATTCAATTTTTTAGACCATTACTGTTTGAAGTCTAGTTTTTGTGAGTGGAATCACATGTTTTAGAACTTTTATTTGAAATATCAATTTGATTTCACCGATTGATTTAGATCCCTACATACTACCAACGCTATTTGCTGAGATTTGTATTAGTGCTTGACTGAGAACTAATTAATCTTTAATTTACTAGTTTTTGTGTTTAATATGATGTATGCATGTCTGAAAACTTGTTGCCTCGTTGCCCCCAACAAGTAGCTAACAGATTTTGGTGCGATTTAGTTATTCATTTGAATCATTTTGGACCTATAATTTTATGATGCAATTTTTTTTTATTTATTGCTAAGTTCGGTATGTCTCTATTTGTTCAAAAATCTCCATTTGACATTCGCTTTAGCGAGAGTCGTAGTTGTGTTGTAAATGCATTTACTTCAATTTTTCTCGATGCTCTACTCATATAAAACTTAATGACCGCATGATCTCTGTGATGGATTCCCTCCCGCGTGCATCCACTCCACACATCTTTACTTTGCGATGCCACGTTGATGATGATGTTTTATATTTGATATGTAGGTCTCATAACTTATATATTATTGGTTTTTCTCACGACAACACCCACTATTTTGAGTTTTGTAATGAAAAGTCAATAGCTGAAGGTATTAGAATTATTCCGAACTCTACTCAACTAAACATATCCAAAAGCTATAGCTCTTTAGGTGCTGATGTTCCGAAGCTTCTGCATTTTAAAATTAATTTTGTAGCAGTGTCAGATTCAGTTCGGCATATTGTTTTAGCTGCCGAACTGAATCTGATGGCTATGATACAAATAACTACCAATCTTTTGGTTTTAAGAATATTTTTAAAATTTGTGAGATTTCCAGATGCGGCAGCTAAAATAATATGTCGAACCGAATTTGCCATTAATATAAAATTATGTTTGAAGTACATAACCTTCGGAACATCATTACTTAAAGAGCTATGACTTATTGATATGTTTAGTTCAGTCAAATTTGGAATATTTCTAATACATTTCGCTATTGCCTTTTCGTTAGAGAACTCAAGATATTGGATGTTTTTGGAAGAAAAGTCAAAAATATATAAATTATCAAATTTTCATATCAATTATAAAATATCATCATCAATGTGGTAATACACGGTAAAGATGTGCGCAGTGGATGATCATTTGATAAAGGGGTCCATCACAGGGATAATATGACCATTAAGTTCAACATGGGTAGAGCTTTCAGAAGAAATTGAAATAAACACTTCTACAAGACAACTATGATTCTTGCTAAAGTGAATGTCAAATGGAGATTTTTCAACAAAAAGAGACATATTGAGCCTAATAATAAATAAAAAGTAATTGCATCATAAAGTTATAAGTCAAATGGATATACTAAATAGCATGGTAGTCACAGAGGGGAATGGACAACGACACGATGACCAGTTATTGTAGGGGGAAGTTGATGGGTGGGTGAAGGGAAGCGTCCGGTGATGGGATTGGAGGAGGGGCAGTGACAGTGGTGGTGGCGAACGGAATAGGGGAGAGAGTTTTCATGGGTTCCTATGGAAGCTTTGAAGTCCTTTGATACTTTGATTTGTTTTAACAATCCCAAATGTCATCTCACGTTTATCCTAACTATTTGCGGCACATCTACTTATTGTTTTGTTCAATAACTTGTCCCCACACGTACACCATAAAATTTGCGTCAATCCACACTGTCTTTTATTGTGGAGAACTTTGATGTATTTGCATGCATAGAGTACTGGCTAATGCTGTTTTTACATGATGTCTACAGGTGGTTCTGAAGGTTTATTTGCACACTTAGTTTTGAAAGGTGAGCTCCTCCCTTGCCTTAGGTGTCCGGGCGACCTTATACCGCCCAGGCATGGAATTGACCGCCTGAGTTGCTCGCTTTTCTTGCCTGAGTTGTTGCCTTTCTCGCCTTACTGACTATGAGCCTTTTAAAAAATGAGCTAGCATTTTTAAATACATTTCTATATATTAAATACTCATTTTTTGAGAAACATATTGAGTAGCTACTCTAATTGTTTTGTTTAACATGTATGACTTGCATGGGATTGACATTATTAATTGCACATCACTTTATATTTTATTTACTCCCTCAATCTGGGATTAATCCTTCCCATTTGGACTTTTTCCCATTGTTATGAAAGGTTGGCTTTGGAAGGGAAATGATTAATATACCCTTCATTTCTTACTTGTTTTACACTTTTACAGCCCCAACACCATCCCTCCGCTGATTTCTGCCGAGGCTAGCACCCACCACCCCCCATCATCATCGGCTCCATCATCTCCGCCGCCCCAAACCTGACCATCTCCATCAACCCTGCCACAATTGACCCAGCTCCCACAGTGTCGCCTTAACCCTCAACACC